TCTTCACCCTCTTCATGCAAGAGAAGCCTCTCTCACATGCTGTGGTACTGACAGCCATTGTTAGGTAGATCTGGGCAAGATGCCTAGGTTGTTAAACTTGGTCTGTAGATAACCTCTCTAGAGTATTTCCAGGAGAGTGTCTGAAGGGCCCATTCCGCATTCTTGCCCAGATTTTATAGAGCCTGTGCTCTCCCAACACCTCAGTGACTGTGGTCCCCTCACGCACCAGGATGCTCTGGTAATGGTGGCACAGGGACTCAATATTTGCTCGTCCATGGAGGACAAAGGCTTCTTTGGACTCATCTGAGTTGTCCAGTTTTGGCCACACATTATGATCAAGAGCTGAGAATGTTTGCACAATGCTCTCGGTAGACAGCAGGTCTCCCAGACGGCTCTCAATATGTTTGGCAAGCATGTCTGTAATTTTCTTCCTGTTTGTAGCCAGTGTGTCTGTGGTGGTGTTTTTTTAGCTCTACCCCTCTATAGGTGCCATTCATTGCATCAGCCAACATCTTCCTTTGCTGCTCTCCGGGCTCCAGACACAGCTCTGTAAGGCCAATGAGGCAGGCCTCAATGTATTGCACTGCTTCCCCTGGCGTCAGATTATCCTGCTGAAACTGGAGGCTCAGTGCCTTGAGAAAGTCCAGTGTATCCAGCAGGAAGTGCATGAACTGGACATTGGTGTGGCTTTTGAGGTAGTGGAGGATGTTCTTTGCCCTTCCCATCACTGCAGGTGAAGGTCGGGTTGTCCTCTCTGGGCTGACCTGGTCCTCAAAGTGGGCCACAAAGATTGCATAGCTATTACACAGGATCTGTGTTGCCTTGTGGATGTAGGGCAACCACCTGGACCCCTTCAGGTTTGTAGGCTTGAGGACCTTCTCCCCCATTATATCCTCAGCTCCCTCAGTGCCTTTGGAGAGTAGTGGTATTGCTGATGCAAATGTTGCAGCACGTCCTGCAGCTGCTTCAGCCTCTGATTCTCTTCTATTGAATCCACCACACCTAATTCCAGCCTGTGTGCCAAACAGTGTATTGCAAGCAGGTGTCAATCTCTTCCTTCAGCTTTGCAGCCACACCATTCCTCTTCCCCAAATTGACAGCCGCACCATCAGCGCATAGGAAAACCACCTTTTCCTTCCAGTTATCCAGACCTGCTTTTACAAACACTGTCTGTACTGCAGAAAGTACACCATGTGCGTGTTTGACATCCTCAATGCCAAGGAAGGACTGAACCACTCCTCTCTCCTTATTGAAGAACTTGACACAGACAATCTCATTCTCAAGGTTCCCAGTATCAGTTGCCCCGTCAATCATCACACTGATATAGCCTGCATTCTTTAGGTCAGAAAGCAGTTGCTCCCTCTCCACATTGTAGATATCAATTGTGAATCTGAAGGTAAAAAAAAGGGAATTTCATTAATAATGAAGGAATTGTAAAAAGTTAATTAAATAGTAAATTTGGAATGTATTAATGTATTTGTGATTCTCACCTTAAACATGCCTTGTCTGACAAGTAACAACTGGTCATGTTGGAGCCAGTCCTACTGTTGAGCTGCACCAGGTCCGGAAAGTCAGTAAATGGCTTTTCTTTCTTGACAACATAGTACGCTGTATGAAACATATTCTCCATTTTATCCTGGAAACCTGCATCTATTTCACCATTAACATGAATCCCAGCTAACACAGCGGGTGTTTCGATTGCTGCCTTCTGCCTCCTCACACACACCTGGTGTGAGATGCTTTTTTCATGCGGGTCAAACCCTGTGGAGCGTTCTGCTACCTGGCCCTTGAAGAGTGGAGAGTCCCTAAACAATCAGAAAAAATCTGCTGCTTAATTATCATATGTAAATAGCGACTATTACTAGCTAGGCCTACTATACATTTCTATAAAGCAATTGTTCATATTTGGTTTATTAAAATAATGATATTGTGGTCATTGTTAAAAAGGAGGATGACATTTCTGCTATTATTATTATTATTTTTATAATGCGCTTTCTGCCTTCCTGTCATTATCAGGAGTTACACATATGGCATATGTAATAGCCTAGATTAGATAACTTATGGCACATGTCCCTATAGTAAATACCTTTTATATTTTCTACTCTTCACTTACTTGTCAGAATAGGTCGGCATTGATTTACAGAGAACCGACAAAATACATATTCAAGCCAACTCCAACGACCAAGCCAGTGTGGCTGAAACTTTCTCTCCCTCTTCTTCTCATACTCCCTGTCACTCTCCTTTGACTCCTCCGGTGACTTTCAGTTATTTAAGAACTGATTTTTGCCCGGCGCTTGGCCGGTTACTGGTGGTTTTAAAAACATGTTGCCGAATGGTTAGGTGGCGCGAAAGTCTAGTGAAGGAGCACCGTAGCCTATTCGCACTGCGCGCACACGGGAGCCTGCTTTCGCTGCGCTCTACTCCGCAACAAACAGCTGCGGAGTAGAGCGCGATGTTGTAGCGTTAATAAACGAAGCAATCTAACAAAATTGTTTGTCAAAATAACAATACCACAGAACAATGTGAGTGTATGTCTTACTGTTTTTAGTGGCCCGAGCGGGCAAGCGTAAAGTACGTTATGCTGGCCCGGGGGGGTCTAAATAGTGCCTCCGGGCCAGCGGGCCATTTATAATGTCGAGCCCTGCCTTAAGTTGTGTCGCTATGAAGTGTTTTCTTAATTCGTTGTCTAACAGGACACAGGAGAGCCAGGATGGTGGCGAGGGGAGATCGGGGGCAGAGAGGGTGTCTTCCCTGACAACTTTGTAACCATGGTGTCTGATGCAGAAAAAGAGGTAAGTCTTTGCAAAGCTATCAAATCTTATAGTTGAAGATTCTTAATTCTGAGGGTTTGCTCTTTTATTTGTTTATTTTCTGCAAATATATTTGTGTTTAGGACTTATTATAATTTAATGATATCAATGTTTGCTCTGTGAAGTTCTGATGGACATCTTAAGCTATTTTCTGACATTTTACATATCAAATTGTAACAAAATAATGACAAAAGATACTAGTTGAGGGCCTTTAAAGAAAATTAAACATCCTAATTGTAAATATGGAACATGTCTATAAAGTCCCTCTACAAATGGGTAGAAAATGAAATACTAAATAACTCAGACGTTGTAAACTACAGGACCTGACGGTGTTTTAAATCCTCACATGCACATCACAAAATATAAGACTGATAGGAGGTTACAGTGTCATTAAAAACGGGTTTCATAGTGACAGCTTGGCAGATTCCAGTCTGAATAAATTATCATTGTGTGACAATAGAAGGTTGTTTGCACATCGGTCAAATTATCATTCAAAATAGGGCAATTATGTTTCTCGAAACGTCTTTGAAGGAGAGCTCTAATTATCTGTTCATCATGAAATGTTATGTGCCGGTAGCGGGCGTTTATGTCTACAATGCTTTGACCCTGTAATGGTATGGAAATTGGAACGACTTCTTTTTACAAAACAGTATTCATAGACTTAAAGTAGTCTTACATATTCTTTGATTATGTATTCTTTCCTCTGATAATTGAGTAAACTAGACACGCACATATATTAAATGTAAAAAAATGTTTTATATACCTATAGAAACTGGAACACTATTCTTGTGTAAATTCTTAATAGTAAGCCTGCAATTCCATTAACCTCAACTTAATAAAGGAGCAGTTGTCTGATGTCGCACAACATCAACACACTTTGTAGAGCATATCTGCCTCTATTTAATTAAAAAGGTACACACTATCATATAGTAAAAAACGTTTCTGCATCTAACGGATCCACACTATCATATAATAAATCCTGTACTGCATGTAAATATATGTCACCAATGTAATTATGTACCTGGCTACGGTAAATCACTCTGTGTGTTGATAATCTCCTCTGCACAAAAGCGATTGGTTATTTCTTGGTCTAAAGTGTCGAAGAAACATCAGTTTGTCAGTCAGCCATGCCCCTACTTGCACTTGGCGTCATGCACGTGGAGGTCGGAAGTTTTCAATCCTTACCAAAACGTTCCAATTTGGCTGAAAAAGCAGCATTAATCCAGTCCTCACCCTGCTAAACGAATCTCTAATCTAACATACAGCGTACTTTACATTCAGATCGTCTTATTTATAATATTAAATAAAACACATTAAACATAGCTTACATCACACATCCGGTAAATATGGCTCTTAAAGATTAAAGTTTTAAAGGCTTTATTTATCATAAGCACAATATTTGCTATGTAGTTTTGTGCAATACAAACTTGATTGTCAGACAACGATGCAACATATGATATACTTAAAATAAAAATAATGGACATAATATGAGTGCAATACAATTCAAGTCTGTTGCAGGAATAAAAAAAATATTGACATATAGAATAGCATAAGATAAAGCAGAATTCAAACCAAATATTTTAGTAGAATAAATACTGTATGCTGTAATAATACATATTACATACATACATACATACATACATACATACATACATACATACATACATACATACATACATACATACATACATACATACATACATACATACATACATACATACACACACACACACACGTACCTGTTTTACCATGTTTCATGTCAACATTAACCACAGTTCTCCTTTTTACACATTTCTGTACCCCCT